CACGCGCACTGTGTTTAACAAACGCTCACACCGCAAGTAATGTACCAATCATCATCAACACCCGTCACTATTTCACTTCCCCTTTTTCCTCACTTCCCCGCTCACTATTGCAGATTCTCCTCAAGCTCCGAAGTGCATGTTATTTACTATTACTATGTACTTGGTATCAGACCTTTTAACCTGCCCCCTCATTTACAATTTAGTCTTGTGTTTCGGATTGTTGCTGTCCTGCTGTCTCAACCGTCATCAGACCTTCTTGCTTGTTTCCTGGATTACATTTTTGCCTTGCAATTTGGATTGGAATTCTCTCTCTCTTCAAAGTCCTGCACAGGATCCATACTCCCTTTCCTGTCCCCTGTTCAATAATCATATAATAAGATATAATTTTAAAAAAAGGTTAGTTCCTTTCATGATACAAACATGTGGCCAACTGCTTCTACCTACATAATCCATTTCTCTGTCCTTCTTCAAACACAGGAATATACCTAAGTATACATACTGTACATACTGTATAACAGAGATTTCTGTTAATTAAATAACTCTTTTCCATTTGACAACCATCTTCCAAGCAATCCAGGCATAACATCTTACAATGTAGATAGTCTGAAATACTTGGATACATACACTTTCCCATTTTAACACACAAAAGATCCAATAACTACTATTTAGCCTCCATGTGATTTTAATTAAACAGGCCTAAGATACATTTGGCTGATGTACTTTTTAAATACATTTTTGTGAGAGTTTCATAAGGTATCACTGGAAAGTGAGACTGTTTTTGTGCAGATGACAAAATACATTTTTGCTAAATATTATATTGCCAAACTAATGAGTCTCAAAATCACAAGGTGAGAAAAACAATGAATGAAGGTCAGAGTTCTGTCATCATGACCATCAATCCTAAATCTCTTCTCTAGGGACTGTCAGCAAGACTCCCCCAAAGTGAAAAATTGTATGTGCGCCTGGAAACACAGATTAGTATCCTCTTGGGTTAAGTTAGAGGCAAATACACTAATTTAACACATTCCTTCAAGGATGAATGGATTGTTCACTAACTTGCAGGTCTAGCACCCAAACTAGTATTTTCTTCTGATAGAAGAGAGTTAATGGAGCTGTGATGTTTTTATTAGGTAATAATAAAACATGTGTGTCAAACAATCTCTGAAACTAGCTGGTGTTTGCAAACAACTGCTAGTCATCATTTTCTTACTGTCAAGTATCTTGGAGTTTATTGTTGAGAATGGTGCTTCAGTGCCAGCACTGATGTCATCTACACTGCAGCAGAGTGTGTCATATATGAAGAAGAAAACAATAACACTGATTTGATCAAAGGGAATATTTCAACACATCCTTTCAAGAGCATTGCAGAACATTATGTGGTACAATATGAGCTGATATTTACATGAAAAGTGCATCTGCAACATTATTTATAGATGTGCTTCAGCATGCATGACAATTTTGGATTTTGTAGTAGGATACATCTCATATAGAAAACGTGACTACCTCTAATATCAGTTTTACAAATTCTGTTTAAATCTATCTTTGTTTATAGAGGAAGCATTATTTTTTAAATTATACAATCATCAGAAAATAATGAAAATGCATGTGCATGTACATTACTACCCATGGGCTTAATTAATCATGGCCTCCTAACAATCCCCATTTCTGAATTGGTTTTAACACTCTGCTCTCCTTCCCACTGATTTTGTTTGATGAGCGAGCTGGTATATTTCGGGTGCCGTTACATCACCTAGGTGGGTGCCACACATCGGTACTGGTGTAGGGGAGTCCCCATTACCTGCAATTTGCTTTCAGTGGAGTGTCCAGAAAAGTCCCATATAATCTATAAAAATAGATTAAATAGAAATAATACTGATATCTTATTGTAATACACCTCTTGATTTTGGAGACTGTTAGGAAGGAGAGAGAGAGCACCTTTTTTTAATCTGAGGAAAGTTTCTCCCTTCCTAAAAACATTTCCCCAGAGATATACACCTATAAATAACAAATAAAGTAGCCTGCAGTGAAATACAACCAGCACAATTTTTACCTTGGGCTTTGTATTACTATATTCAACTAAGCTGAACTTAAGGAAACTTAAAACATGTCTATGCACCAGTTGCCTCTTATCAGCTGGTGAATCTAATGATATGCTTTTCACTCATTGAGCCCTAGAGGACTAAGAACTTCTAAATAGCTTTGCCAGAAATGTATTTCATGCTTTCAGTGCAAAGAGAAATCAAGCTATCAAGATCTCTCCTACCTGTCTCCCAGGAGTACCCATTCCATTTGAACTTGTAATGTTCTGTATCCATGTCACACTTAACAAATCAATGTGACAATTTAGAGCAGTGACCTGCTTGACATTTTGATTTGGAAAAAGCAGGATAGTTTGTTAATAACTAAAACAGACCCCGTTTCATTTCCTCTGAGGTTCCATTGAGCTTTTATTAAAATGAAAGAAAAATTAATTCCATTTTGCTCCCATTAATGCAATTTCAGGAGAACAAAAATACTAACTTAGCTCTAACTTCAAAACAGATTTTGACCATTTATTAAAAAGGGACTGAACATATAAAGGCAGACTGACCAGACAGTAACAACAGTAACAATAATGGGAAAAAAAAAATCTATGATAAGGCAGCATTGGACCACTCCTATCAGGAGCTAATTTGAGTATCCTGACAAAGTCTAGTTTTTAATTTTATGTTCTGGAACTGTAATGGTCTTCATTTATTATCTATTGTGTTTCAAACTATAATGTAAGTTTCTTCTTTCATTACATCTCCCCTTTGACATCAGTTTTGGTGGCAAAAAATTAATAGCATAGTGTCATTTCTAACAGAGAGGCTTTCATATGTACTACTGAGTCTCCCAATTTCCTTTCAGCACACTATCCTTAAAGACAGTTCTCTGCTTTGTGTAACCCTTGAATGAGCAAATCTGCTGTCCAAGGAACAGAAAAACAATATATTCTTGAGAAAGTTAAGCCTTTCATTTGCAAGTTACAAAGGGTAATAGTTCAGTAAACAAAACTCTGAATCTCTGTTCCAGGTTTTGTGATGAGATAATCCAGAGATGTATAAAGCCCTACTGTTCTTATTAGAAGCCACGCAAAGTCTGTTGTAAACTGCGATGGATTGCAGAGCTAACCCAAGCTTCTGAGAATTCATTAGGAGAAAGGAGAGTTTAAATATTTTGTTGCTGCATCAAATTGTTAGTGCTCACTAATGACAAAATACAAAATGAGCACTGAGGACCAATTTGTAGAGGGTAATACTAATCAAATGCAACCTAAGCTGAAATTATGGATTTACATTTATGTCCAGATAGCATCTAAAGCATAAGGCTGTGTGACACAACAGCCTATGGGCATGCAAGCAATATGGTACATGATATGGTGCTTCACATCACTGTTGCTAGGGTAATTGCAAAATGTCCCATAAACTATTAATAACAATAAAACTGGTATTATCAGTTACCAGCAGGTTGAGACTGAAAACTGAACAAAATTCTACATTTTTTTAAAATATTCGAAAATGCTGAGAATCACTCATTAGTATCTGGCACTGTAGCAGCATATCCAAATGACCAGTTCCTGTAGTGAATTCTAGGCAGCTATTTTCCCTCTAGCAGTCGCTTCAAGCCACAATACACTAATGAGTCACATTTATGAATGTGTTAAAAGAGTTATCTCAGAGTCTCTGCAGTTCAGTTCCTATTTCCATAAATCTTGGCACTGTTTTAATCTCCTTTGAAAAATAATATTTAATGCAGATCTTACTTGGTATAATCTTAAAACTCCCCCAGATCATTAAGATACACCTACAATTACCACTACTGCATAATACATGCTTTTAAGAAATTATTTTTTCATCACATGGACACAAATAGCTAGGTTAAAATAATAACCCATTTCCTTCTCTATTAGACATTTTTGGAGATAAAACTGTGACAGTCTATTTGTCACCTTCTGAGCATGCCCATACTAAGATTAATGAAGGAGATGTGGCTTTGGTTTGTGTGCGTTTATTTCTCACTTTTCTGTTTTGCATCTAACAGTTATTTTTTATCTTAGTTTTATTCCACATTAATTGTTTCACTTAACAAAAGAAAACAAAATAGCTAATTTCCTAAGCATACTAATTTAAAATTTGACCACTAACATTCTGATTTCTGTAAATATAATTTTTTAATTCTTTATTTTTATTTAATGCCTATGACATTTTATTATTACCTAAACAACATCTACATAGGTTACTTTCATAAAGATGCCCAAAATGCAATTAAAGAACAACATGATATAAATATATACCCAAAACTGATTTTTGATCTTTATTTGTGTGTGGCTACCAGGCATATATAATATATTATGTATATATACTGTATATATAATATCTGAAGAAAGTATACTTAGAATATCACTATATTTAGAATAGCGTAAATTTTTTTAAATATAATTTTATTACATTTCAAAGGCAATATATATATAGATAATATCCATAGTCAAAGTAAAAACAAAATTTAAGGACTCTGAAGAATGACGCTGGGTTTAAAAAATAATTGTGAAAAACAACAAGAAACCTAAATACTACTACTTGTGAGGAGTGCTAGGGGAAAGTGATCTATTCAAAGATTGTAAAAATAAAACTCACATCTGTATTTCATGTAGTTCTTTCCTTTCTATTAGCATCCGTTTTCTCATGAAATTCAAACCCTCAATATAATGACAAAAAAGTATAGCAAAAGTCTTAAGATTGCATCATGCATTGAAAATCATACATCACACTGCTTCTTAACTGACCTAGTTAAAAGCAAAAGTAAAGTACTGACCAGGTATAAGTAAGATGCATAAGTGTAACAAGATTATAAGCAGCGCTTAGCTTGAAGCCACTTTTAACAGCATCTTAACCTTTTAAGAGGCACTACGACAAAGATGTGTGTAACAGTCTGTTTTTGTTTTTGTAAGTGAAAAGGCAGTTAAATATTTTTTTCCCTACCTTAAGATAGCAGTGTCCCCTTGCCTAATAACCACAGTTTCAACCCCGATCCAGGGAAAGTCCACAGTTTGTCCAGCAGGCAAGCAGGAGGGCAGAAAGCAGCAGAGACTTAGAATTATAGCAGTAAACCACTGACCAGAGAAACATGCATCCTGCACCACAATCATTATGTCCATTACTGCTAAAATGCTTTCCCTTGTTTGTCTGCAAATCTTTACAAAGCTCTTATTCCAGCTCTTCCCTCCCTGAAAAGCTCAAGAAATGGCGTTCCAGAGAGTTTTCCAGGTTTGTTTTGTCAGAACTGCACTGTATGAGGAAGTCTATTCTCCAGTGGCTTGCACACCATCTAGTGAGGAAATGTGATGTAAAATGAGAGCAGCCTGAGCAGCAGACAACCCCCAGGCTCTGATCCTGTTGCCATGCGGCCGTTTCCCAGGCAACCCGTCCCAGTAACTGGTGATGGAGCAGTTAAAGCTGGTAGGGTATTGATACAACAAAACAACACAAGAGCAATTAAATATATCGATTGTGGAATGATCCTAACCCTATGGTATGCACAAAGCAACATGGCTGAGATCATAACAGATGTTAACTCTGTGCATGCCAGTAAGTAGTAATCTACAAACTTCTTATTTACAATAGCAAAAGAAAACATTCTAATAGTTGCAAACAACATTTCAAAAAAGTACATGCAGAAAATAGTAAATTTGAGCTCAGAAATGCATACATAGAAGGCATCAATGTTACCATACTTGACATATTTTCCATTTAATACCCTTTATGTAATCTTATTATACATTTTTACTAGGTCAGAAGCTTTGCATTAGAGAAATTCCAGTACAGTAACATCTGTTCATCATTTTAAAGGAACTATTTGTACTGTAGAATCATTATTAAATATAAGAAGGAACAAATTTTGTTTTCTTCAGTGCACATAAGCATATAAATAAGCATATAGGACCTTTTTTTTTAGAATTGCAAAGGCTTTTTGTAAAAAAATGAATGATATGCCATTTTTGGCATTAAAGGGATATACTGTAGATGAAAGAACCCTACTATTTATTATTTTACCTTTATTGTTCATTCAAAAAACTTGATTTAGAAACATGCTGGATAATGGGAAGATAATGTATTTATAATGTATTTATATTGACACATTATTTTCATCTTCTGGACAATTAAGGGAAGCAATAAAAAAGACAAAAATCAAACTGTTATGATATATATTTAAGTTTATAATTTTATTTATGCCCCAGTAAGACCTCATCTAGAATGATTGGTTTTGGTAAAAAAATGTTTTTGTATTGAATAGGTTTATTCGTGACCAGTGGGTGGCACGATGGTACAGTCCTTAGCATAACTGCCCTGCAGCAGTAGTGTTCAGGGTTCATTTCTGGACTTGTGGTGCTATCTGTGTGGAGATTGTATGTTCACCCTGTGTTCGTAGTTAGAAAATGGATGGATAACAAACTGTGATTCATATTTACAGAAATTGTGCTAATGATAACGTGCACATGATCCAAAACTTAAATTTGCTGGCTTTTGAGAATCTGAAGATTTTTTTATTCACTTATAACAAAATTGAAAATTGTATGTTACTGTACACTTAAATGATTAATCAAGATAAAGCAATTTGTATTTTTTTGTAGTTATTGTGTAATGTAAATTATTTTCAAACATTAATTCTTACAAAAATATGAAGTACAGTTTAAGTTAAATATGTGTAGCAGCAATACTTATTAATAAGTCACAGAATTAAGTTTTGCTGTAGATTTTTCAGTGAGGTCCCACTCCCTGGTCCCAGTCACAGAATAGCTTCATGATCTGTGTGTTCTAGAATGTTGGGGAGATGAGGTAGTCTTTTGATAAAGTAGAATCTCTCAGTATGGCAACATCAACTATTACCAGCTCTCCCCATGAGTTGTCTAAACTATTGTCCAAACTTTGGGACTTAACCTTTTTGCTCAAAGCGCCAAGAGTTAGAGAGTGAACCCGTAATTAAAGATAGCATTCTGCTGATGGTCCAGCCTGTAGCCGGGACCTCACAAACAGCTAGCTACAGTACCACCGTGCATCTGCTTGATCACCGAAGCAAAACAGTTGATCTTTTGTCGACACACCTGAATTATTATTCAGCAGTAGCTGTTACAATGGGACCAAACTGAGATTCTCCTCTTTTTCAGAGGACCCTGAACAAACAGTCACCCCTGCATACATATGTTTTGTTACGGCTCCACCTACTCACAGCTGGAGGTTGTCTCAAGCACTGGTTGCTGGCCTGACTGGTGTAGCAGAGACGCAGACCCTGCTGACAGTTGTGTTAAATCTTAGCCAATCACAAACTGACCAGGGAACCTAGGACTCCACGCCTCCCTTCCCTAGCTCTATAAATCCAGTGGTCTACTTACCTGGTTATCTGGGTGTCTAGGCAGCCCTTACACTTTTTCTCAGTTCAGCTCAACACTAACCCAGATGTCACACTGAAGATAGCCAATAGTCATCGTGAGCCTACAGCAGGACTTCTCTCTCTCCCTAACACCTCGAGTCGCATCAAGAATGGATGAACATTGAGCCAGTAGAGCACGGATTGAACACAAGTGACAGACTCTGTCAGTTGTTCCCTTTGCCTTCTGCATGGGAGTTGTGAATAAACTGTTGTGTAATAGTATGGTTCAATATTCAACTTAACCAATCTAAATAATTCAATTGCTATCATAACACATATCAATATCAAATTAATTAATGTAAGTAGTAGTATTTACTCATGAGTGTTTAAATGATGAGTATATTGCAATGAGACTTATAAATGAGTTAGTAAAACAAAATGGAAAATACTTTCTGTAGCTCTTCTTGATATCTGCAATAGCTTGATCACCATGTATCAGCTGTCTTTTATATCCAGGCAGACTTTCATGCATTACTTTAAATACTTTTATGTACACATTTTATGTATCAATAAATGAATTATGTGTGTTGTGAATCCGTGTGCAGACTGCATGTTTTGCTGGCACACAATAGCTTACAAGCTTACAATAAAATTTGTGAGAGTAAATTCACACAATCCCCTTCATATGTGGAGAGTTTTCTACAGTATAAGCCTTTGCAACTTTACATAGCATTGGGTCACAAAATCTCTCATGGGTCTTCTTTTAATTACATAAACATGTTTAACGCATGGCTTACCTTCATTGTAACCCTAGCAACGACACACTTTTCTACAGGATTGGTATGGAACTGTATTTTAATGACAGCAATAACAATTATTTTTGTGTTCACTCAAATGCACAATTTAAAATAGTTTTATGTGAAAAGAAATGCCAGTTTTGGAAAAGTGAGACATACATATTATATAGATTATTTCACAAGTGTGTAGATAGTATAATATTTTTTGCAAGAATTCCTACAATTTAAAAAATAAAATTACAAAGGATATAGTTGTTTCAAAAACTGATTTCTTACCTCAAAACTTCTTAGGAAATTTTATATTAAAAAGTTCCTTTCTTTTACTTATTCACAAAGCTTTCCTGTGTGATGGCAGTGGGGATTTTTAGTGTTGCCACTCATGAGATCATTAAAATACCCTACAGTTGAAAAATGCAAAGCAGAGAAAAGGAACTCTCTAAACCAGACCAAAATCAAGGGAGCAAAATTTAAGCCTTCAGAGGTTTGAATTTATACATATTCAGCATTAACTTCAATAGCAGCAAGGAAAATCATTTCTTCCTTACTAAAATTTAGATTTTTTCTTTTTCATTCCCAAGTGTTGACTGATTAAAACTGACTCCTCTAAAGAAGACACCTCTAGGACTGTATTTTGCCTTGACAGATAAAGGGTTTTGATCTACATTATTGGCACGCTCTGTGCAAAATTCTTCCAAGGAAAGGATGATGTTAGCACAGAACGTAAATTAATACTTAGGATATCTTTTTTCATCATTTATTTTTTATTACAGACTTAATTAAACCAAGGTGTTAAATTAATTGAATATTGGGTGCCATTTGTCAAACTGGCACAAGTACATTGATTTTTATAAAGAACTTATGGAAAGTTGAAATGTCAATATATATTTATGTCTAAATTTTTAATAACTAAAATTAGAAGGCACACCTTCTGATATGTAATATAAAAACATATCTTTGTACCACAAATGAATGTGTGTATTGTTTTTATAAAAACTGCAAAATAATTCCCAATATGTTGACACTACTGTGTGTGGTCACCTCTGATGTGTGTACCACTGAATGAAGCTTTAAAAAGTTTTAATGTCAGACTATGTGATTCTTTTCAAAGATAACACAAAGGTTAATGTTGATGTAAAATCACAGCTCATTGATAACTTTTCAAGCATTTAATTTTGTTCACTGTTGTTTTTCAGTTTTTGTATTTCGATATTACTATGGATAGTAATCAATTGTTTTATTGTTATTAAAAACTCAAAATCAGAAGTTTTTCTTTTTATAATCTCCCAATTTGGAATGAACTGTTAATAAACTTGGCTTAGCACTACAGCCATGCCAGCAGGGCAAATGGTTCAAGAACACTCTTGACTTGATAGGCCCATTGCTATTACTGATGATAAATAGGACTGCTGTATCTCTCAGCCCCCATGGTTGCATTCTCACGAGGACTCACGGTTTTCTAGGGCTTGCCGTTAGACCAGATCCCTTTTCAGGAAATGCATCTTAATTAATAATTATGATTTAAATTATTCAATTCTTCTTTGAAGCACCTCTGTTGTGGTGCTTCATTATCAATCCAATATTCGTTACTGATAGTACTTTAGCCTTCACACTCCCCATGTTCCTCTGTTATTGTGGACTGGTTCTCTGCCTTGGAACCTGGACTACACTGAGCTGGTCTCCATCTTCCATCAATTGCCCAACTTTACTCCAAAGCAACATCTGCTTCTCTCAGACTCATCAGCCTGACAGCACTTCCCTTCATCTCTCAAGTCCACTCAGAGGCTTCCCTTCAAGTCTTCAGGTCTGCAGCCAGGGAACGCTTCTCATAAAGACTTCACTCCAGCCAACTTCTTTCACCGCATGGCTCCTGGCCATCATCCTGGAGCCCTGAACTCCACTTCACTGGCAACCCTTTCCTCTGACTGTAGCCTTACTTCACTCTGGGGGGAGCATCCCCCTTCCAGGAGCCCAGGCTTCTCTGTGTTCTGCCTTTATCCCCCTGACAAAACAGCCCTTATCCTGTACTGAAGCCCTCATCTGCATACTGGCCCCTTTCTCTGAGTACCCTCACCTCTGTTGCCTTCCCAGGTTCTCTCTGAGGCAGCACTCTTGCTCCAGTTTTTCAGGGCTTTTTCTTTTCTCACTCTCTTTTCCA